AAGCGATCATAGCTTACCTTTAAGATTTTCAACACACCCTTCTCCCCCTCTTCAAGATTTGAAAGCCCAGACTCTAGAACTGAATCCCACTCTTCTATTTCCTTGCCTCGCAAAACTCTTCCAATCATATTTGCTGCTAGAGGTAAACCTCTACATTTGCGAGCAATCTCCAGTCCAGTAATCGCAAATTTTTCCGGTACTTCTTTATCTTGAAATACCATTGTTTTGATTATGGACCAGCATTCATCAGCTGTTAATGACCTCAATCTACATGGACGATTGCAAGTGTTCACAATAGAGACCACCTTTTCCTTACGTGTGGTGACGATAATGAAATTTCCTTTATTGGAGCTTGCTCCCTCCAGTGTATTTTTGAATTCCTCCCAATCTTCTGTTTCTTCATTCCATAAATCATCGAGAACTAGCAAGTATCTTTTGTTTTGTAATTCCTCTGCAATCTTTTGAACAACAGCTTGCTTGCTATCTCCACCAAAATCTTTGCACAATAATTCCAGAATCCTTTTGAAAAGCGTCAGCTGATCAAAATTTTCTGATACACAAACCCAAATCCTTTTGCCAAAATGGGTTTGTGTACGATGGTGATTGTAGATCTTACGTGCTAAAGTCGTCTTGCCAAGCCCACCCATTCCGACTATGGGAAGGACTGAAAGGACAGTATTGATCGAGCCCGTTATTGTCTCCAGAATTTCTGATTCATCAATTTCTCTTCCAACGACAATTGGATCAACAGTGAAGCTAGTAGTGTCAATGACCGCAGGCTTTGCCAGAGGATAATTTTTAACTCTGTTAAGGCCAAGGCTATCAGCTTCGTTGTTTATCCTTTTGAAGTTGGCATTTATGTCCTTGACTTTGTGAGCCATCTCCCGTTGAAATGTCAAAGTAGTATCAGTACAACAAGGGATGTTTAAGCACCCCTTTGGCTTAATCTCGTCCTGGGTCTCAATTGTACGACGCAGATCTTCATATTTGATCTCGTCCAAAACAATGTCGGCATCATATGCAGCATACTCGAGGTCCTTGAGCCAGCTTTTAACATCCATGTCGATGATTTCCAGCCTTGCAGCACCTTCCAAGACTTGGTTGACCTTTTCCAAGTATTTTTTTAGGCTTGCTAGTTCGTTCTTGAAACCACGCACAAGATTGATTTCATCAGCAGCTACCGCATACAACTTCTCCAGTATAAATTTTACGCCTTCAATAGCCACAGCTTCCATTTTTTTTTCTTGCTTTGGAAATTTGGTGAGAGAGAAAGTTGGATACAGATTGCAAAGTGGAGTTGTTTGTGGTGTAAATGAATTTTTTTTCTCTGTTTAAGAAAGGTACACAAATGAATTATTCAATACCATCTATTATTGGAGAATGGGCCCAATTGTCTGGCTAAGGACAATTTGATACCTACTCGTTTATTGATTTTGAATTCTACATTTCTCTCTCTACTGACTAATAATTCAATTCCAAATTCCGATTCCAAAGCAAGAAAAATGGATGAAACGCCTATGGTTCTCGCCACTTTCAAAATTGTAGTGGAGAAATTAGTCTAAAATAATGATTTCTTAATACTAAATTAGGTACCATAACTTTATGAATTAGACAACTTCCATTTTCGTTTGCATATACTAACTAATTTGGTGACATTGCAAGCGCAGATTTTAATGATCTTCACCTTAGTGTCCCATTTCTATGAAAATAATTGTATCCACTAATTTTGGATTTCTTAATGGGTGATATTATAGAAGTATGTTTAAAGAGTTACGAAAATAATTGTGTCCCTTACTTTCATATTTCCAAATGGGTAATTATATATTTATACCACATTTATTGTTTATTGTACTGTATTTTT